AATTTTCCTCATTTCACTTGTTTTATGCATAGATTGGGCCTTGGTGACAAGATGATGTAAATAGTAATTTACGATACTTGTCTTTTTAAAAAGCATAAACATTTATAAGCAACATATTTTCCAGTTTGAAGGATGTTCCCTACTGTTATTTTTAATCTGTATCATCAAAGCAAATCAGAGAAGGCTGCAGGCTATGTGCTTTCTTTTTTCTTTTTTTTTTTTGGTATTTTTGAGACAGGGTCTCCCTGTAGCCCCAGGTGGCCTAGAACTCACTATGTAGACCAGGCTGGCCTTGAACTCGAAGAGATCTGCCTGCCTCTGCCTCCTGAGCCCTGGGATTAAAGGCATGCACCACCATGCCCAGGAGGCTATGTGCTTTCTAAAGTGTTTTTAAGTCAAATGGTTGGTATTAAAATCTCATGGTGTAGTAGGGATGTATACCTCCAGACATGCCTAAAGAAGAAAGGATGTTGGGATATGTTCTTCCTGTGTGTTTGGAAGCCACATTTGAAGAAAAGAAATCGGAACTGTTATTTGCCTCGATTGTTGGTGGAACACTAGTGGCTATGTATGAAGAAGCTACATTATTTACCACACTAGTCCTCTGAAGCACCTTTGCCTTTGTTCCCGCAACATTGAAGCAGACTGAAAAATGTGGAAATGTTGCCATACTGAAGAGGATACTTGGTAAACAATGGTAACCAGCAATGGACATATGTTGATCACAGCTGTGAAAGAAGGATCCACAGCTGTTGATTATGAACTAAATCCCTACATAGTTTGGTACTTCAGGCATTGTGGCCTGCTGAAAAGGTGTGGCTCTGTACAATCTTTGAGATTTTTTTGAAAGATACCACAGTTGGGGAAGAAAGCTCAATTTGAGGATGATGCCAAAGTGATTGATGGTCGGCTCTCTTTCCAGCAGTTGACACTGAACCACATAACTGGAGAAGGGACAGACACTGCTTATCAACTACTTTCAGAGGAAAAGAGGTCACGAAAATGGAGCATCTCTGGTGGGTCATTCAAATAGAAGTTTTATACCTATGGCCATACCACCCTGAAAGCACCTGATCTCGTCAAACAGCAGCTTTATCATGAGTGCTTTTCTGAAGTGTGGGTGATCTTTCTGATTTCTCAGAGACTTATGGCTATGCCTTTAGTAACAAAGCATATCTGTCTATAATGTGGAATGAGAAGTTGCTATTACTTCCCTTAACTTTTCGAGAAACATGTTAAGAAAAATAGGTATTTAAAATGTGCTTTATGCTTACTACTCTTATAGAGGACCTGGGTTTTGTTCCTAGCACCTACATAAGGCATTTAACAACTGCCTGATCTCCAGTTCCAAGGGGTCCAGTGCCCTTCCTTCTTCTGCAGGATTCTGAATGCATGTGGTGCACATATACTCACACAGGCTTACACAAATAGACACAAACAACAATAAATCTTTAAAATGTGATTTAAACAAAAAATAAACAAGGTCTTGCTCTATAGCCCAGGCTGGCTTCAAGAGCTCACTATATAGCCTGGGACAAACTGGCCTCAAACTTGGGCAATTCTCCAAATGCTGAGATTTCATGCATGAGTCCTCACGCATGGCCAAACTCTACTTTCAATGGAATATTCTAAACAAATGTGTCTACTGTGCTTTTGTGCATAAGGATGTGTAAATATAAATGATAGTCATGTTGATGGATAGAAAGATGTCAACATTATAAAAAATATGACAATATCACAGTTGAGGAAAAATTATATTTTAAAGAATTGTGTGTGCTTTCATGAGTTTATGTATATCACATACATGCAGGTGTCCACAGGCGCCAGAGGGCATCCAATTTCCTGGAACTGGTATTACAGGTGGTTGTGAGCCTCCTGATGTGGGCGCTGGGAACTGAACCTGGGTCCTCTGCAAGAGCATTAAGTGCTCTTAACCACTGAGCCATCTCTTCTGCCCAGAAAAATTCTAATTTTTAAATTTTTTGTTTGTTTTCTGTGCATGAGTGCTTTGCCTGCAATATAAATAAGTGGTCCTCTGGAGTTCAGAAGGTTGTTAGCCTCCATGTGAATGCAGGGAGCCAAACACAGGTCCTCTGTAAGGGCAGACAGTACTCTTAACTGCTGAGCCATCTCTTCAGGCCCAAGAAATTATTTTTAAAGAGAGTATGTATTAGCAAATATTTGCAGTTTCCTTTTATTCATACTTAAAATTTATCTTTTTGTATGGTAAAGTTAATCTTCTAAAGAATTCAGAGAGTCATTTATATTTTATAACATTTATAAGAATATTTTCCTCCAGCCAGGAGTAGAGGTGCATGCCTTTAATCCCAGCACTCAGGAGGCAGAAGCAGGCAGATCTCTGTGAATTCAAGGCCAGCCTGGTCTACATCATGAGTTCCAGGCCAGCTGGGGCTACAGAAAGACCCTGTCTCAAAAAAGATTTTTCAAAAAAAGTATATTTTGCCCCAAGGCTAGTGGTTTACTATATTATATTGAAGGTGTATGTACACAGTACATGTGTACAAATGGGTGTGTGTAAACATGTCACATTTTAACATTCCTGAAACTGAGGATACACCTTCAGTTGAAGCTGTATTACAAACTTTAATGGGCAGTGTTGCACATTTTGTATAACTGTGCATTATACCAGATAACATCTTCAATTTGGTGAAATATAGTATTCAGAAAAAGATCCCTGACATAGTAATTAGTAAGGGTTTAGTAGTGAAATAAATGATGATGAGCTTTGTATGGAATCCATCCTGGGCTGATGTCTCTTCCCTGCTCTGTCCTCACTCAGCAGGAGCCTTGGACAGTGACTTTCTGTTTCAAAACTCATGGTTCCCAGAGTATCTCTACTGTGGGACAGTGACACCTGGATTGGAGATCAATCTTTAAAACTAATAGCATATAGTCTTTTGTCTGTAAATGGTATTAATAAATAATAATTTACAAATAACAAATTAAATAATTTTAGACATTCAGAAAAAACTTACAGAAGTTGCAGATTTCTACTAATTGCTTCTCTATTTTATGAGCATTCATTTATTAATATTTCTCATTTATAAGAAACAACTTGGCTGATTTACTTTTGAAATTTGCTTACATTTGTTTATTTAAAGTGTGTATGTTGGGAGCTGGAGAGACGGCTCAGTGGTTAAGAACACTGAATGTGCTTGCAGAAGACCCGGGTTCGAATCCCAGCACCCACATGGCAGCTAACAACCGTACGTAACTCCAGTTCTAGGGGATCTGACAGCCTCTTCTGTCCTCCATGGGCACTGCACGACATGAGTGCACTTACCTACACGCAGGCAATACACACATACACATAAAAAAATAAAAATAATAAATGTTTTTAAAATATTAAAAAAAAAATAAAGTGTGTGTGTTATGTAGGTGGCCAGATGCCACAGTGTGTGTGGAGGTCAGAGGACAACTTGCAGGAGTCAGTTCTCTCCTACATGAGTTCTAAGGACTGAACTCTGGTTGTCACCCTTGGTGGCAAGTGCCTTTACCTGCTGATCCATCTCTCCACTCCTAATTGATCTATTATTTATTGAGACAGGGTCTCATGTAGCCCAGGCTGGCCTCAAACTGCTATGTACCAGAGGTTGACCTTGAACTCCTAGTCTTCCTATCTCCTTGAGTACACCACAACAGGTGGCTGATTGTTTGAGCAAAGTCTTCATTTTATTGGCAGCATGAGAATTCACTTTGGCTTCTACCTTTTGCATACATAAGTTCTCTCCCACCCCCTTGACAGTTATATGTAAGCTTTTCCAACTTCTGCACTAAATGCTGTGAAAAGATTACAACAGGTTGATTTTTCCAGTGACTTTTAGTCATTACAAGAAAATGATCAAAATAAGACTCTATTTACAAACATGTAATTCTTGTATATAGTGGTTATCACACATCTTCATTGTTATTTTTACAATGAACTACTAAATTATTTTTTTGAGACAGGGTCTCATGTAGTTGGGGATGGATTTGAACTCATCATCCCACTTCCACCTCCCAAGTTCTGGACTTGCAGATGTGTATCGCTGCACATGGATTTAAATTACTTTTATGCTTCAAGGAAAACTGAAATTCCTTTTCAGTGCCAATTTCCCAGGAATTGGAATCTCCACCTACTAATCTTTTTCTCTTATCATCCATTCAGTCAGCAAGAATATTCAATTTACTGTGACCTTCATCACAACACCTTTCTTGCTATTTGACACCAAGACATTCATCTCTTCCCATCAATACTATCCTGTAACTTTTGTTAGATTAATGTTTCTAAACCATGGCCTGGACTAATCATAGTTCATTATTCGTGCCACTAATGTTTATTGAGTGATTTACTTTACAGCAAGGGTAAATACTTGTGTATAAGTAATTGTAGCTCAAAGTTAGAAAGTGGTAACATATGAAGTTCAGAAAGTATTATGGACATTCGCTACAAGTAAAACTTACTTCTAGATCGAGATGCCACTCTAAAGTGAGAATGGATAGAACGTTAAGGTCTGGGGGTGATGTGTGTGCATAGTGTATGTGTGGGGGAATGGTAAGTATTCCAAGCAGAAAGGAACACTGGCCATCTATACATTGTAATAGATAATTCATGAAGCACTTCATCCGGGATGGTTTACCATGGGCTGAGGGGGAATGAAAAGGCAACAGCAGAGAATAAAAATTAGAATCCGAGTCAGTATTTTTGGCCTTCACTCTACGGGCAGCAGGGAGCTATTGAATATCTTGTATCATAGATGTGCTTGAAGATGACCAAACTTCAATCAGTAATACGCAAGATATGAAGGTCGGGGAGTGGTTTAGAGGAAGGCCATCAATGAGGAAAACTGTGCACTTGCACTGTCAGGGAATGCTGAGAAATTCGATCAGGTAGTGGGTATGGGGAGTGGATGGTTGCCAGAATGACTGCAAGGACAGAAACGACAGAACTTCACCACTGGAATGAGGCGCGGAAAGGAAACTTCAGATTAGACACTGACCTTTCCAAGTTGACTAGATTAACAAGAAGCGTGCGCAGTCTGGGAAGCGATTCGGGAAGAAGGCCAAATTATAGCTGGGGCTTTCGGCGTTTCCGTACTTGGAATACCCGAGAGGAAAAAGCCAAGACGTTTGGAGGTGGACACTGAAGGTGGAAGTGCTGTGTTTCCGCAAAAAAAAAAAAAAATGCAGAATGGCCTACAAGACATCTCTCTACCCAGACGTGCTCCAGAAGGCCACAGGTGGCATCGCTCAGGCAGTGCAGCGTCTGCTCCTCCCGCGCCGTCAGCCGTACCTTGCCGGTCTCCGCACTCGGGAGCCGGCGGTTGGAAGCAGCTCTCCCTTTTGCCTATTCTTGGGTTTTCCGCCCCTGATCATCCCGACTCCCAGTCAGAGACTTTAATAGTCCGCGACACCAGCAGGCGGCTTTGGAAGCGAAAAGGTCCCACCGCCCCTTTTCGTCGTACTGTAGGTGTCGCGCCACAGTTCGAAAAAAAAGAGGCGTGGCCGGGAGGAAACGCCCGGGTGGACTCTAGATATCGCGAGACTTGATTGGCAGCTTCGAATTTTGCGTTCCGGAAGCGGAAGTCGCGTGGGTGACAGATTCCTAAGGAAAGCATTTGGTTATTCCTTGATTACCTTGAAGAGAAACGTGCGGGGCGTAGGTGGGGCGGCCTGGGGTGTCTCCTCGTCCCGGGGGCGGGTGAGCAGAGCCTTCGGCAGATGAATCGCCGGCTCTGGACGGTGGAAGGCACTAGGTGGCAGAGCCGGCGGCGGTGGGGGGTTGGTTCTGGGAGACCGGAAATCGCTAGTCCTGGTGCGCGTTGTTTTCCCTCAGGTCAGGTCGGCGGGTTACGGCGCTTCGGGAAGGAGACGCTCTGCCTGAGTCTTGGTAAGCCTCGTGTGATGCGTGGAGGCCGGGCTGGGAAAGACGGTTCCCAGTCAGTCACGCTCTGACCCCCGGGACCCCTCCTCAGGGTCCGCGGGGCTGCCAGCTCCATCCTTTCAGCCCTGACCCAGTTTGGTCGACCTCAGTCCTAGTTGTTTGTGGTCAGTAAATTAGGAGTGTTCGAGGCCCACCTGAAAAGTGTAGCCTTTCGTTCAACTGTAGCAACACCGAGAGTGTCCTCGGGTTACTAATGCATGGACTAGCTGGTTTGGAAGTCCCAGAGGAGCAGTGTGAGTTTGGTCTTTGGAGTGTAAGGGTTTTGTCTTCAGAGCCCTTGATTCCAACCCCTTCCTAGACTAAGGCGCGAATGCGGCCATCCCCTTAATCTTAATAAAGATACTAAGACTCTTAAAGATATTTTAAGTATGTCTGTGTGCATGCCGCGTGTGTGGGGTGCCCGAAGAGGCAAGAGGGCGTCGCATCCCCTGGAGCTGGCGTTCCCGGCGGTTGTGAGCCAGCCCGGTGTGCTGGCGTCTGAACACCGAAGAACAGCCGGTGTTTTTAAACACCGAGGCATCTCTCCACCCTCATCCCCCCCCATCAAGTTAACTCCCCCACCCCGTCTTTAAATAACCTAAACATTAAACAGTATAGTTGCCTCAAATTTCTTGGAGTAACTAAAGCTTGCATTAATTAAAATTTGGTTTAAATTATGGTCTCATGAGGAAGTGTAAAATGATTTGTTTTTTGTGTTGGGAGGGGCATGGGAAAATAGTTTCCTTTCTGGATTATGAATGGGCTAGCCTTCTAATTAATTAGCAGAATTTATTTTAGAGTCATTTGTTTTTGGAGTATTTGACCTTAGTTTGCCAGCACCAGGCACACTGAAAGTATGGTAAACGATAGGGCATCCTCTAAGCAGAGCTCCAGAGGTAGAGCATGCAGATACTGCTTGGTTTAAGCAATTCTGGTTTAAATGTGTTGGACTAAGAGTAGTAGTATAAATATGGGCATGTTTTGAGGAGTTTGGAGGAAAGACAAGGCAGTGACAAAACAATCTGTCAAAAGGTTTGTTAGAAGTTGAATTAGTACAGGAAGAAACTTCAGTTGATGGGGGGGATTGTTTTTAAACTTGTAAGCATGATTGTTGTTAAATAGGCCTTAAATAATAAAATAGGTTTTGGGCCTCGTTTTTTGAGATAGTGTCTCCCTATGTTGCCCAAACTGCTCTTGTGTTTCTAGACTCAGTTGATTTTCCCAGCTCAGCCATGGGTGTGCTAGAACTACAACATAGGTCCTTACCAGGTTTAGGAATCTTGAGGCAAACAGCAGAAACATAGACTGGGTACTTGGTCAAGGACCACTGGGAAGTAGGAGATGCTTACATTTTTAAGTTTTTATTATGTGTATGTTTTGCCTTTATGTATATAAGTGCACTCTTGCATACATTGCCCAGGGAGGCCAGAAGAAGACATCAAATCCCCTGGAGCTAGAGTTACAGAGATGGTTGTTAAGAGCAGCCAGTGCTCTTAACTGTTGAGCCATCTTTCTAGCCCCAGTTTCCAGGACTTAAGTGAAGATTAAAAGTGAACTCTATGGGCTGGACATGTTGGCATGTGCCTTTAGACCCAGCATTCAGGAGGCAGAAGCAGACAGATCGCAGAAGCCAGTCTGGTCTATGATTTCCAGGCCAGCTGGGGCTATAGGAGTTGTCCACCTTGTGTTTCAAACAGCATCTTTTACTGGGATCTGGGGATTGTGGATTAAGCTAGGCTGGCTGACCAGCAAGCACCAGGGATGTCTGCATCCATTTCCCTTGTGCTAGGATATAAGCATGTGCCAATATGCCTAGCTTTTTATGTGGCTGCTGGGAACCAAACTCAGGTGCATGTGCTTACAGATCAAGCACTTTATCAATTGTGCTGTCTCCCCAGCTCTAGATATGTCTCCTCTACTAGACTGGGGGCTCTTTGGAATCTGGTCCATGATAACATTGTTCATTTAGTATTGCAGGCTCCTTGTTAGCACAGTATAGTCAAGAACTGTTGAGTTGAATGACTAAAAATTTTTTTTAAGATTTATATTTATGTGTGAGTGCCTGCATACATGTGTACATGCCAGGTTCCCATGGAGGCCATGCGTGGGATTCCCTGGAACTGGAGTTACAGGCAGTTGTGAGTGGCCTGATATGGGTACTGGGAACCCAGTTCAAGTCCTTTGCAAGAGCAGCAAATGTTCTTAACCACTGAGCCATCTCTCCAGCCTGAATGTGTAAAGTATCTTAAAAAGTACACAGGAATTTTGTGAGTATTCCGTAAAGAATAGTTCACTTCTTGGTTTCTCATCAGCTTATAAGTTAGTATTAATTTTTAAAAAATTAACAGAATTATCTTAAAAATTGCACAGAATTCCAAGATGAGTGATACTTCTGAAACAGTTCCAAATTTTGAAGAGATGTTTGCGACCAGATTCACACAAGATGACAAAGAGTACCAGGAATACTTGAAACGCCCTCCTGAATCCCCTCCAATTATTGAGGAATGGAATAGCAGAGCTGGTGGGAACCAAAGAAATAGAGGCAATTGGTATGTATTACTTCTGCAGGATTAATGCAGATGGCAGTCTGGGAGCTGATAGCGTTAACATGCTTGCCTGTAAAGCCAGTGAAAGTAACAACCAATAGTTAATATGCTTGCCTGTAAAGCCAGTGAAAGTAACAACCAATGTTTCCATGTGGTGTACCCACTGCCTCATAACAGCATCTGGCATGTTATATGTCATAAATATTTGCCTTAATATGTCCTTTCCAAGACAGGCATGGTGGCACAAGCCATATACTCAGTACTTTGGAGTCTGAGGCAGGAGGGGCATGAATTCAATGCCAGTCTGGGCTATATAGTAAGACCCTATCTCAAACAAAGAAATATATGTCCTTTTGTTGAGTAATACTGTCTTTACAAATATACTTCTATGAAACTAGAGTTTTTGTGCTTGCTTTTATAAAGAAGGTATGGCTTTGATATTTCTTCAGAATTTTATAAAATGAAATGGAAGTAGTTCTGTGTAATAATTAAAAACAATAAAGAATTACCATACTGATATTGTTTAATTGAATAGATATCAGTTTGATCCAGAACTATGATATGGGTTGGGCTTGTTATCTGCCTCTTTTCTTATAAAAGTATCCAGTATGTTAGTGGAAGGATAACTTACATCTTAGGAAAGTTTTGCTTAACTATTGCTATAATATGCTGTAGAGAAAAATGTCTTTCTCTCTGATACACTGTGTATTACACTGAGAAATCAAATGCATGGGGATAGATTTCTCTTTTTTTTTTTAAGAGAAGTTGAATTTTTATTTTATTTTATTTTATTTTATTTTGTAGGTTGCAAGATAACAGACAGTATAGAGGTAGGGATAACAGACGAGGATGGCCAAGTGACAGTCGCTCAAATCAATGGCATGGACGATCCTGGGGTAATAATTACCCACAGCACAGGCAAGAACCTTACTATCCACAACAGTACGGACAATATGGTCACAACCAACGACCTCCTTATGGTTACTATCGATAGCAGTGTTGACAGCTTTTAGCAGAAAGACCATTTACATTGTTAATGTACTAAAGGTTTTTATGTCTTCTTTTGGTAATAGTTTCCCATCCTATTTTTAAGAGAATGGATTATTAATTTTTTGGAACTTGATTTATATGATTACTGGGAATAAATATCCGCTAACCCCAATGTGGAGTATATTGTTTGATTCTTCTTTGTTTTATGACTTCATAGTTTTTTTGAGTTTGGTATATTTTCCTTGTTTGGGCTCTAAGAGTTCTGTCTTTAACCCATAAATAAAAACTGTAAAATAGAAAATAGTGACTTTTACTTTATATAAAAAATGCTCAAGGGGGCTGGAGAGATGGCTCAGCAGCTAAGAGCACTGACTGCTCTTGCAGAGGACCCGGGTTCGATTCCTAGCACCCACATGGCAGCTACGAACCATCCTTAACTCCAGTTCCAGGGGAATCTGAAGCCCTCTTCTGACCTCCGAGGCATTGCTCCACATGCGTGCATTCACATACATGCAATACACTCATACACAAAAAATAAAAATAATAAATAAAAATATTTTTTAAAAATGCTCAAATGTGTTTATCTCTATAATTCTACAGAGGTTAGGAGAATCAGTTTGTAAATACACAGCTGTTCTTATATATGGTGTATTGTACATAATAGCAGCAGTTGAAAGAAAATCATATTTCTTTTGGCTTTTTTAATGTGACTATGGTACTTTTCAATTACTTACTCTATGAGTCAGCTCCACACTTAATTTGGTCTCTTAGAGAGAAATCAAGAACAAAGCTATAAAATGTGGAGGACTCATTTTCAATCTAGCTTCTTGATGTAGGTAGCAATTATGGCATACATCATTTTGTACAAAACTAAGGTTTTTGCAAATTTACTAATAGCAGAGAAGAAACTGACATGCTTTATAAGTGATTATTGTAGTTTTATTCAAATCAGACTTTAAAAGATTTATGGAACACCTTTAATCCTAGCACTTAGGAGGCAGAGGCAGGCGGCTCTCTGAGTTCAAGGCCAGCCTGGTCTACATAGCTAGTTTCAGGCCAGCTGGGGCTATAGGGAGACCCTGGCTCAAGAAGACCAAAAAAAAAAAAAAAAAAAAAAAAATTTATGCAACTTCATGCCTAAGTTTTGATAGTTAACCCATTATTTAATATGGTAAAGTGAACTATTTGGGTTTTATTACTCTATCCTTTATGTATACCAAAAAAGGCTTAGTTTAAGGGGCCACTATTAAAGAGAACAAATTTTATCATAGGTCATAGGAATTGAGTTAAATTCTTAAGCTTATCTTTTCTTTTAGCTCTTTGAAGTTGACTTTCCCAGGTGCTTCTCTATGATCTGAATATCTTCTCTCTGCATCCTCCCTTCTTGAAGAGCCATCCTCTCAGGTAACTATTTTATCAGTAAAATTCTACAAAATCAGGTTTTCACATTGAGATATAAATACAATTTTAAAATAGGGTAAGGCTTTACTATGTATCCTTTTAATTATATCAATATGCAATAGACGAGTTGTGTTACATAAAGACAGGTTCTGATATTACAGATATTTAACTTGAAGAATCATGAATTACCTGACTCTCTACACTATAGGATCTTTGAAAGCAGGATTACTGAAAATATGCCTACTGGTAAAGCATAGGCATTAACCAGTTTTGATAGTAATTGACTAGCCTTGTTCTTTCTATTGCTGAAAAAAACACTTAACCAAAACCAACTTGCAGAGTAAAGGGTTTATTTTATCTTACTGTCTCCTAGGTCACAGTTTATCCCTGAAGGAAGTCAGGGCAGGAACCTGTAGGCAGAAGCTGAAGCACAGACTATGGCAGACTGCTGCTTACTGGCTTGCTTTTCTGGCCTGTGCTCAGCCTGCTTTCATTTTCTTTTTTTTTTTTTAATTAAAAAATTTTTTATTTTATGTGTATGCATGTATTGCCTACATGTAGGTAAGTGTACCTATGCCATGCAATGTCCGAGGAGGACAGAAGAGGCTGTCGGATCCCCTGGAACTGAAGTTACAGATAGTTGTTAGCTGCCATGTGGGTGCTGGGATTCAAACCCAGGTCTTCTGCAAGAACAGTCAATGTTCTTAACTGCTGAGTCATCTCTCCAGTCCCCAGCCTGCTTTCTTAAACATATCAGGACTACCAGCCCAGGGGTGACACCATCCACAGTGGGCCAAGCCCTCCGTATCACTTAACAATCAAGGAAATGCCTCATAGCCTTGCCCACAGACCAGTATGTTAGAGGAAATCCACCCACCCACTCACCCACCCCCCATGATAGAAGAAATTCCTCAATTGAGGGTCCCTCTTCCCAGATTTGCCAAGTTGACAACTAAAGCTGTCCATACACTATGTCATTGCAACAAGATTCTGCACTGTGCCTGCTCTTGATACTAATTAGAGATGTAGATGAAAGAGAAAGAGCTGAAGTGAGGGATGCTTCTCAGGGTGCTCAGAAAAGAGATTTTCTAAGTATTTAAATATTTTAGTACCTGCGACAGCTTACTTATGGCCTTGGTTGAAAAAAAAAAAATGAGGGAAATCCTTTTAACATGAATTAATTTTTCATTTTGTATGAGTAGCCCTTATGGTAGTAGGTATTATTTTTAATTGAAAATTTGCAATTTTCATACAATATATTTTGATAGTGTTTAAATCCCCTCTTTACACACCTTCCCTAATTGTCCCCCACCCAATTTAATATACTGTATTTTATATGCATGTGTATGTATATATACGAGCACTGGCTCTGTGTGTGTGTGTGTGTGTGTGTGTATGTATGTATATATAGATTAGCCTATAGAGTCTAATTTGTGTCTTCAAATGTCCTTCAGTGTGGGTCCATCCACTGGAGCCTGACTAACCTGGCTAACCTACCAAGAGTCCCATCCTCGAAAGAAACTGTCTCTCTTCCCTTTCCAGCAGCCATCAGTTGCCTATACTGCCATCTTTGCAGAATTATAAATGACAGAAGGAAGAGCTTGGGAACAGAGATTAGAATTGTGGCCATTAAATCTCCAGGAACTCATAGTAAGTACAGCAAAAGCATTTGTTGTATAAGGGGAGTATTGGATAAATTGTGAAGCAGAGTAGTGAAAAGTGTAGAATAAAAGATGGGGCAGGTGTGATGGTACATGCTTGAAGTCCCAGGATCCTGGAGGCTCAGGCAGGAGGATGGAAAGTTCTAGGCCAGCCTAGGCTACATAGTGAGAAGTCTCTAACAAACAAGATATGGAAACGCAAGAGACATTGAAAGTTAAGGATTTACAATTGTTTCCTTGTGTGTATTGATATATAAATTGCAAAAGGAGAGCAACCACACAAATGTAGAAGGAAGTGTATATAAATGTTGAGCTAAAATTAGTAACATTTACTCTTTGGAAATTGGCACACGCTGTTAATTCCAGCATTTGGGAGGCAGAGGCAGGCAGATCTCTGTAAGTTGGAGGCCAGCCTGATCCACATAGTGAGTTCCAGGCCAGCTGGGGCTACAGGGAGACCCTGTCTCAAAAAGAGAAAAAAAGCTTAACAGAGGGGTTGGAGAAATGGCTCAGCAGTTACAAGCACTGGCTGCTCTTAGAGAGGATCCAGGTTTGAATCCCAGCACCCACATGGCAGCTAATAACCGTCTGTAACTCCAGTTCCAGGGGATCCGACACCCTCTTCTGACCTCTGCAGGCATTGCACGACACAGGTGCACTTACACACATGTAGGCAATACACTCATACATTTAAAATAATGGAATATAATATATTTTAAAATACTTAGCAGAGAAGAATGTAATTTCCCTTTTGTACTTTGTATGCCTAAAGGAAAATATAGGACCTTATAATAGAATTAAGAGAAATGTCAGTTTTCTCTTTTTATCCTTAAAGAGTGGGGTTTTGCAATGGTACTTAGGTTGGCTCAGAACTCCTGAGCTCAGCAGTCCTAATGCCTTAGGCTCTTAAGCACCTGGGACTGCACGTATATCACTATGCCCAGCCATTTTAAGTTTAGAATGCCAAAGCAGAAGGAAATGATCTTTCATTCTGAAGGTTACTGGCAACACTAATTTTGAATCCCATAAATATTTTTACCTCTTAAATTTATTTTTGCCTTTTTATTCCATTTGACTTTTTGAATTTGCATTTGTGGGTGTTCTGTCAGTGTGACAACATACCTGAAACAGCTTACAAGGAAGAAAAGTTTATTTGGGGCTCATGGTTTCAGAGGCTTCTGTCATGTCACAGTCTTCGGTCCCATTGCTTTTGGTCCTGTGGCAGGGCAGTACATTATGGCAGAAGCATATGGTAGAAGAGGCCTGTTACTCTCATAGTGGTTTGACAGTGAAAGGGACAGAGGAAGGAACTAGGTCCAGTTATCCCCTTTTTAGGATATCCCTCCCCAAGGATATTCCTCCTACTTGGCCCTACCTCTCAAAGATTCTTACTGTAGCTTGGACATAGTGCCTCATATATGGTAGGCAAGTGCTCTAATATTGATCTATATTTCTAGCCCTGTTTTTATTTTGAGACAGGGTTTCATTAAGTTACCCAGGCTGGCCTTGAACTCTGGATCCTACTTGGGCTGTTGACTCAGTTACTGTTGTCTATTGTAAAAGATATTGTTAATATTTAGGTTAATACTTAAGGATTAAAATACAGCTGTATGGGACATTTTGTGATACCAAAGTTTTTCCTGACTTCTATATTATATTATTATGGAACCAAATAAAAAACTAGATCCAATAGTAGATTGTACCATTGGACCTCAAGGGAACCTTGAGAGCAACTGTTTCCTTCTTTTCAGAAATCTGGTTGTTACTGCAGGAACCAGCTTTTGAAGAAAATGATGTGAGTAAAACTCTGTCCACCTGCACATTCTGAGAGCATTGCCCTGGGCAGATGAGCTGCACAGTGCCCATGAGTAGGGCTGTACTATGTGAGGGTGTGCAGGGGTAAGGAGGAAGTAACTCCTGAGCTGCTTGAACAGTGCTGAGGCCTTGGCCCCAGAGAAACACTCTTACTCTGAAGAGTTCTATCCATGCTTTCGAGCAGTGGGTAACACCTATCAGATTGACATTTTTATGGGGTTGGAAGGGAAGAACTGGTTAACAGAAGGCAAGTCTTCCAACAAATATGCTAACATGTGATTGAACTCTCCCTTTAGGGTTAAGCAAAAGCATATGCATAAAAAGGATATAATTCTATCATTTTGTGGCAATATGGATTGATGTGCTAGAGGCCATTATGTTCAATGAAATAAGCCAGGCACAGAAAAACAAATACCACATCTCACTTGCAGAAGCTAAAATTATGTTGACTGAATAAAAGTAGGGAGTAGAACAGAGGTCAGTAGAAACTAGGAAGGCAGATGGAAGGGAATAGAGAGGTAACAGATTCCAGAATAAAAGTTAGTGGTAGGGAAGCAGTTCTAGTATTCTAGAATAGGACCATTATAACACTGTCATTATACTTGGTAACTAGAGAAGAGTCTGAGGTTCCCAACACATAGAAATGATAATATTTGAGGTGATGGAAATGCTAATAACCCAGATTTGGTCATTACATGTTGTATCCATGTATCAAATTAAACTATACCCCATAAACAAGTACAAATACTATACCAATTATAAAGTAAGTATATAGCACTTGTATAGGTGCTTGGCCAATGTCAGGTTCCTGCCTGCAGAATTAGAGGAAGGCCTCTGTAGGTTGCCTTAGGTTCTAAGTTCAGCTCACAGGGCTGGGGTATAACTCATTTGGCAGAATGCTTGCATATAATGCATGAAGCCTTGGGTTTGATCACCAGTACTACATAAGAGCAGAAAGGTCTTAGGTGCCAGGGAGGAAAGATTGTAACAGCTAGAGGTTGGGGAAGACAGGAGCAAAACAGTGCCTTCTGGATATGGCAAGACCCCTGCACTCATGAACTCACAGCATGAGATTGTGCTTACACAATGTGGTTGTGGTTACCTGCAGGAGATCAGTTCAGTCAGGTGTCCAGCACAGAGGGTAGAGGGGCTCATAAGCCCCACCCCTAACTGAGGAACTATGACAGGGATGGCTTCTGGTGGAGAGTAAGTTTTCTTTAAGGGATGGCCCCTGGTAGGTTGGCTATGCTCCTAGGGGAGGGCTGCATACCCAGGTGTAAATGGGTTCTAAAAAAAAAAAAAATCAAGGACATGAATGGGAGGGAGGAGTGGGGATTGAATATAATGAAAATACATTATATGCATGTATGAAATTCTCTGTGAAAGATTTTTTTTTTTTCAAAGTTATAAGGGGCTGGGTGTGGTGGCACAGACCTTTAACCCCAGCACTCAGGAGGCAGAGGCAGAAGGATCTCTGGGTTTGAGGCCAGCCTGGTGTACAAAGTGAATTCCAGGCCAACCAGGGCTACATAGTGACACCCTGTCTAAAAACAAACAAAAACCCCACTAAAAGCAACAAAAAAAGTAATAGGTTCACAACAGGCAGTCCATCAGATGTTAAGTCACAATAAATTTGGATTTTTTTTTTTAAAGGAAAATTAGAAGTTCAAGATCATCCTCAGCTACAAAGGAAGTTTGAGGCTAGCCTAGGATAGGCCACCCTGTCTTAAAAAAAAAAAAGTAAACACGTTCAGCTTATAGATATTCCACTAGTGTCTTCATGAACTGGTGAACCAATTTAGTTGGTGTTTCATTCTTGTCCCTAAGGGCACAGAGAATCTTATGTATTAATTACCAGTTAAATTTTCTCTGGGTTTCAGTGACTTCTGAGACAACCCTGGGAGATGTGATGATGATCTCATGGTTTTTTTCCCATTGCTGGTGCTGTTAACTCCCTAAGGTCTCCAGCTTCTTTGTCTGAATGAGGTAAACAAACTGCTTTCCCTGATGAAGACCAGAGCTTTGTTGTTTTGTGTCTGCTTTTCTCACTTTAAAATTTCTTTAATTATGCACACTTTGTGTATATACAAAATAAAGACAAAAAGTAAAGCAGTATAAAAATGAGTAAATTGAAGCCAGGTGTGGTGGCGCACACCTTTATTCCCAGCATTAGGGAAGCAGAGGCAGGTGGATCTCTGTGAGTTCAAGGCCAGCCTGGTCTACATAGTTCTAGGACAGCTGGGGCTAAAAAAAAAAAAAAAGAGTAAACTGAATCCAAAAGATATATATCTTTTTATCTCTTGGACCAAGTTCACACAAATATTTATAGAAATTTGTGTGTATATATTTTTCCTTTCTTACTAAACTGAGGTAAAATATTTTAATATATACACATATATTATCTGCATAAAACTTACATAACAGAATATAATAGGTATCACTCTAGGTCAACAGCATAAATTTAAATTAACATCTGGCTTTAGTAATATAGTATGGACTTGCCATTGATTAAATGACTTTATGTAGATACTTAGGGGATTTTGTTTTTGTGTGTCCTACAGTGCTGCATTGACTGTATGTAGATCCTTTGTGCTTTTATTTTGTGTTCTGTGGAGAGTACTCTTAAAGTAGAATTGTTGGGTTAAAAGATAGTACTTAAAACACTAGGAATTCACATTCCCATCAGCTCTATGTATGTTATGGTGGTTTATATTGTCCTTGACAGAATCTGGAGTTACCTTGGCTCCTGACAGATCTTGGGACATGTCTGTGAGGGATTTTCCAGATTAGGTTAATTGACATGAGAGGATCCACTCTAAATGTGGGCAGCATGATTCTGTGTGCAGGGGTCCTCAACTGGATAAAGAGGAGAAAGTGAGATGAGCATGAGCACTCCTCTCTCTCCTTCCTGGCTATGGATGCAGTATGACTAGCTGCATCAAGTGCCTGCTGCCACACCTTCTCCTTCAGGATGGACTGTGCCCTCAAACTGTGAACTAAAATAAACCCTTTCTTTCTAAACTGCTTTTGTCAGATATTTTATCACAGCAATAACAAAAGTGACTAATACACAAGGATTACAGTGGTTATTTCTTCCCGCCCTATGACTTCAGCTTTTTAAAAAAAGGTTTTAAAATTAGTATTGTGTGCATGTGTGTGTCAGTGTGGATGTGTACATGACACACTGTGGAATCAGGACAACTTTCAGGAGTTGGTTCCCTCCTAGTCTCTCCTTCCACCATGGGTGCTGGTGACAGACTCAGGTCTCAGGCTTGTACAGCTAGTGCCTTTCCCTGCTGAGCCCTCTGGATGACTCAGCCTTCTGTCTGAATGCTACAACTTTCAGTCTTTGTAATTGTAATTTACCACATTGCCTGTCACTGTTGTCATTGTTTCACCTTTCTGTGAATTCACCTTTTGTTAAGTATTTTCTTGTATCTCTAAATATTCTATTTTTTGGTTCTCCTTCAAGATTCTATGCAGCTTTTGATTTTCTTTGATTTCCACAGATGCCATTTTCCCTTGCCCACCCTTCTCTGTCTTGCCCTCCTGTTTGTAGCTTCCGTTATTTTGTTTCCAACATGGCTTTTAATTCTCTAGTGCCTTTTTATTGTATTTATTTATTTATTATTTATTTATTTATTTATTTTGAGACAGGGTCTTTAGCCACAGCTGGCCTAAAACTTGCTATATAGACAAGGCTGACCTCAGTCTCACAGAGATCCATTTGCCTCTGCCTCCCAAGTTCTGGGATTAATGCATCTGGCTTATTTTTTAAAATGTGTGTGTGTGTGTGTGTGTGTGTGTGTGTGTGTGTGTGTATGTATGTGTGTGTACATGAGTTCTGTGTACATGAGTGCAGGTGCCTGCAGAAGCTAGAGGCATTTCCCCTGCAACTGGAGTTACAGGTAATTGTGAGCCACCTGATGTGGGTGTTGGGAACCAAACTCATCCCCTGAAGAGCAGTATACAACCTTAACTATTGAGCTTTCTCTCAGCTCTTTTTAAATTCAGTCAGACATGCTTCAGATGCTTCACAGCTGCTTATGAGCAGACACTGCAACATGTGGCATGAACAGTAGAGCTTTACAGTAGGATTAGAGGCTTGATATCATGTGATAATTTGCTTCCATATTCTCCACAGTCCCCAACTCCAGGCATCTCAGGGGAAATCTAACGCCTTGAAACAATTTGAAAGCACCTGTGATAGAACAGATGCAGTGAATTTCATGTAGGAATAACTAAGGAGTCTCTAACCTTTGGCCTCAAAATTTGGAAATTGTCTGGCCCTGATCCCAGGCTCTTCAAGAAGCCTTCAGATAATGATGCTTATAGATTTCTCAAAGGAACAGAATGTACTTACTAAAAGAGCCACTATACAATCTTTTTGGCAGGTGTGTTCATTCAAGTAAGTTGGCAAATTGATTAGGAATCAGTACCTTACCAGTTGTTCAGGCCAATTCCATTTTCAGAAGCACTAACTATATGGAATTTCTGAAAGTTGCAAAGTTAAAGGAGGGGTTTGGGACCCTGCCCTCTAACATGGTACTCACCCACGTGTACCCAGCTGGCCCTGACACCTGAGTACCTAGCTGGTCCCTACTTAGCACTGTTCTGAGAGAAACTATTTAAAGAACATCTCTGAAAACATAAGAAGAATCAGAGTGTGAGAGACTGAGTGCAGAATGGACTTCATAAAGCAACTGAATTAATTCCCATGATCAGGTTATGCTGAGCTTTCTGTTGTGGTGCCACCTCTTGGATTTAAACTGAAAAATCTAAGCTTTTAGTTTCTAATCACATGTATTAAAACAATCTGAATTTGGGGCCATGGTATTTATATTCTGTATAACAATTAAGGAACTATTTAACCACATCCTTGAAAACCGAGATGGAAGGCTGGTAGTTTACAGCCTAGAAAACTGCCTCCTAAAGTTTGAGTTTTTGAGACTTTAAATATTGTAAAAATGTCACTTGCATTCTCTGGTTCTCCTTCCATCCTCTAGCCAACCAAAAGGTGTGGAGTGACTCCCAGGAATCAGACACCCCCAGAACAGAATGAGTTGGCTTTTCTTTCCCAAGTTGTTACTGTATAGTGTGAGCACTCATAACAGTTTTTTTACCATGGTGGAAGTGAGAGATGTCAGATCCAAAGCTACAGCATCACTGTGACACTAGTCCTAAGTTCTCTCTCAAACCGTATTTATAGCTGTGTCAAAGCCAGGATCCACAAGACAAGAAAATCAGTGTATAGTCAGTCACTTTGTAGATTGTCTAGTCAGTATGTCACTCAAAATTAATGGGGAGGTGGGCCAGTTTGGAATCATGTTACCTGAAAAATGTTGTGGAGGTTGGAGACTTATGTCCTACTTGGGGCTACTTAGTATTCTTTGGGTCAGGATCCAGCTGCCCAAGAAAGCTGAATAACTAAACTTCTGTAGTGGGTCAAGATTTCCACTCCACTGCTGTGGTCTGTCACTAGTGGGGAACAGCCCAGTGTGGAGAAGTAGCTGTTAGACTGCTGAAGAGTACCTCATTTGCAGAGGAAGAAGGGACTCTTGTTCTAGAATCCAGTCTTGGGCCAGTTTACTGTCAGCAAAGCTTTTGATGGTGTTACTGTATTGTATCTTTTGCTTTGTTTATGTGTCTGGAGATAGGATATCATTGTAATCCAGGCCTGTCTGCAAATTACTATGTATAGCCCAGGCTGGTCTTGAACTTGCCATTCTCCTGTCTCAGCCTCCCCGGCACTGGGACTATAAGCATGTGCTACCATACCCAGCTTACTGTGATTCATCTTCTTTGTTAGAAAATACTGTTATGTTTCTTTAAAAAAAAATATTACACAGGGGGCTGGAGAGATGGCTTAGCAGTTAAGAGCACTGAATGCTCTTGCAGAGGACACGGGTTTGATCCCCAGCACTCACATGGTGGCTATGAACCATCCTTAAGTCCAGTTCCAGGGGAATCCAAAGCCACCTTCTGACCTCTGTGGCATTGCACGAAATGTGTGCACTCACGTACAGGCAATACACTCATACACATAAAATAAAAATAATAAAATATTTTTTAAAATATCACACATAGTAGCACATGCTTTAATTTTAGCACTTGGGAGGCAGAGGCAGACTGACTTTGAGTTAGAGGCCAGCCTCTACATACCAAGTTCCAGGTTAGCCAGAGCTACATAACGAGACAATGTCTCAAAAACAACAGAACAGAAAAATAAAAATATTAGGCAAAGGCTCCCATGTTTAAACATAGCTACTTAAAGTAAAATAGAGTCTGGTGAGTGGTGTGTACCAGTAGTTCTCGCACTCAGGAGTATGAGGTAGGTGAACTTGAAGCTAGGAGTTTGAGATTAGTCTAGGTAATGTAGCAAGAACCCCCCCCCCTGCAAAAGAATTAATAGATTATTGTAGTGGAAATTACTGGTTCTTATCTATCCTCTATTCTTCAAAACTTTATTTTGGTATCCATTTTTCTCTATTTCTTTACTTCAGAGATGCTAACACTTATTTCCACAGAGGCTCTGGGATGGGCCTTAAGTGGCCTAAAATGATTAGGATAATTCTTTTCTATAATCACTTGTTCAGGGCACTTATTTTAGCTTGGCATCCCTTGTAGCTGGTTTAGAAACTTCATGTGACCTGATTTGGCCTGAGATACAAGGGGAGCTGAGCTTTTGAAAAATACCACAGCTCTTCTGAGCAGCCATCTTTCTAGGAGAGGGTAACAGGTGGTACGAAACCGAGAGCCTAGGCCTTTTGCCTCCATGAAGGAAGTGGACCTCATGATGAAACTGGCATTACTAAGGAAGGAAAGAAAGTGGGTCCTTTATGACATCTGAGCTGCTGAGTCAGTTTGACCCTTAGGGATACCTCTGGACTTTATGAGCATATTTAAGCATCCCTTGAAGGTGAACCTGGATGGAATGTTTGTTAAATGAGAAAGTATCCTGCAGTGAGCCACATAAAGCCCCAAGTGAAATGCCATAATGGAACCCACT